GCAGCTCGGCTAAAAAGCAGCTCAGCTCACATGATATCAAGCCGTAGCTGAGCCGAAGCTAGCCGTTTGCATCACTAGCTTATAGTAGTGTTTACAAGGCAATAATTAGTAATGAAAATACCGAGGAAATATATGCATTAAAAGTTTTTGAGAATAGCACACTTATTAGCAAAGAAATTGAGAATGAAGTAAGCAATATTGTATAAGATTTTCAAATACTAGATCTTCGCAAGTCACATACTAATATCTATAATATACAGCTAGAGAATTTGCTTTCTGTGGAATCTCATCAAAATATAATTAAATTTTATGGCGTTACTAAATTCGAAGGTAACCATTATCTGTTTCCATGAATTATTAAAAAATTTTTTAATTGATAATTTTCATTATGCAAAATAGATCGTATGGATGAAGATAAAATCAAATATGCATTTGTACTTGAGTGCGCGGATGGTGGCACTTTACGAGATTATTTAACCAAGAATACATCTAACATTGAATGGGAATTAAAAATTCAATTTGCAATTCAACTCGTGGGTAAGTTACAAGTTGTCAAACATCTTTAAAAATATAAAATGAATGAACTAACCCAAATAGTATCATTGACTTTAAATTTCGAATCTTTAAAGACGCTGTTAAATGGTTGCATTTTTCTAATGTTGTTCACGGCGATCTGGTAAATAAGACTCCTTTAACTTCACATAATCGTTATATAGTTTTGAATACTAATAAGATTGTTTTTATTTTCATATTACAATTTAAGCATTCTAATAATATACTTGTTCACCAAGAATCTTTAAAATTAGCCGATTTTGGATTATCACAGCGTATAGATGAATCAACCAACTCTCAAACTACAAATAAAATTTTTGGAATAGTTCCATATATCGATCCTGAATGTTTTTCGCTAAAGGAAGGTCAAGATGGAAAGTCTCGTAGACGGAAAATAAATAAGAAATCAGACGTTTATAGTGTTGGAGTTCTCTTATGGGAAATATCCAGTGAAAGACAACCTTTTAAAAATTATGAACCGGCAACCCTCCCAGCAAAAATATTAGGCGGCCTGAGAGAAGAACCAATTCACGGTATACCGGAAAGATATATTTCCATTTATGAAAGTAGGTTTATAATTTAAACTTTACAACCTTATATTATATGTCCTCATTCAAATTCTCTTTTAATTTAGAATGTTGGCACAGTAAGCAAAGTGATCGACCAACTATTAATGAAGTATATATTGGATTAAACAATATTAATACTTCTTTTCAAGATATCCTATTTACCAAACTCGATACATTGGAATTTAAAAAATACGTTGAAACTATTTTTCATGTATCTTCAGAAATTTCAGAACCCATAAAATTTAATGATAATAATGATAATGAACAAGACCCAAAATTATCTTTTTAGATAAATTTTATCTAAATTTTTATGATAAATTTAACAAAGGACTATCAGTTCCTAGTACGATTAAAAATTACATATCTGATAATGGTGAAACTGAGGATAATATTTTAAATTGGTTATATCTTAACAAAAATGAGCCAAAATATATTTGCCTTCGTGGGATATTTTATATGTGGGGTATTGGTACAAAAGAAGGAAAAGAAAGTTCTATTAAAGTTCTTGATCTATTCCTTGATGCAGCGAATAGAAACGATGTTGTTGCTCAATATTTTGCCGGAAGATGTTACGAAGTTGGCTGGGACACCAAGAAAAATATGAGAGAGGCAATTAAATGGTATAACAAAGCAACTAAAAATGGATGTGCTGCAGCAGAACGAATTCTTGGAGATTATTGTTATAAATGTCAAGAATATTCCAAAGCATTTACATTACTTAAAAGCGCAGTTGATAATGGAAATATAATGGCAATGCACAACTTGGGATTATGCTACAAATTTGGCCATGGGGTAAAAATCGACACATTCCAAGGATTTACATTACTTAAACAAGCTGCTGATAAAGGAGTACCAAATTCATCATATGAACTTGCCCGATGTTACGAATTTGGCAAAGGAACAGTAGAAAACTTCCGTGAAGCACTAAATTGGTATCAAAAAGCTACCGATGATGGTAAGAATTGCCATGACGAACGAGAGCGTGTCATGGTTAAAATTAGGATGGAGCAATCCAGGGTATACCTGGCATCTGAAACGAGATCTATCCGAAGTTAGTTTCGGAAAGTCTTAATCTGAATTTTTTTTTTTAAAAAAAAAAACGAAACTACGAAACCATAATTTGAAACTTCTAAAATTTATAGTATATAAATGTATTTTTATTTTAACGCTCACAGGAGGTGAAATATGATAATTAAAAACATATATTGTGTTCCAAGTTTTTATATATCGACATTGTTGGCAATAAATACGTATCAAAGCTGATAAAACTATTAAATATATAAAATTATTAAATAGTTTACTAACAATCCACGTACAGTACGTACGTACATTTTAAAATGTTGCACGCTACAGCAAAAGAATATATAGTAAAGGGGTGGTGCTCATTTCACCGACAATCACTTCACCGACATCTTAGTTCGCCGACAATTAATTCACCGACAAGTTCATTTCACCGACAAT